AAAGTATTGTGAGATGTAGTTAAATATTTGTTTTTAAGAGTGTGAGTGTATTGGGGGCCTGGGTTAGTTGAGGGTATATTATGTGTTGTAATAATTTTTACATTGTGTTATTCTCTTGTTGTCTATTGATAGCGACCATGAATTTTCTCTGATTTTAGAGTTTTCACGTTATGTTCTTGTGTTCCTCTTTTTTCTCTATGCTTTATTTGTTTTTTCCCAACACTTAAAGGGTGTGAACTGATATATGCATGTGAATTCTAGATTGTGACGAAAGTGTCTCAAAACTTAGCTGAGAAAACTCCATTTGTATTGTTTGCCAAAATTTGATCTTGAGCAAATAAGCTATGCCAACGAAAGTTGGTAGATTATTTGTTTAAGATAGGACAACACGCTGATGAAAGTAGATGTTGTCCAAATTTATCTATTTTTCTATAATTTACTCGTTTCTCGTATAAGATTAAGAAATTTACACGAGCCTGCTTGAGGTATATGTCATGCACCCTAGGTCATGTTTTAAGCACATTATTACTCAATCAAAACCATTTTCCCAAACTAAATTTCGAACGCATTAGCTAAACACATGTAAATTAGAATTCAATACTTAAATAATTGGTCTTTGTGGGAACGATAATCTTTTATATTATTTCGGTATTATCGTATACTCGCGGGGTATCACCTAAGTTCTAAAAGGAACAGTCCCCCTTTCACTGAAATTTTGTTTCAATTCTTTGACTAATGGAATATCAATATAAATTAGAAAATGTGCTACTCCCTCCATTCTTATTTATAAGCAAATTTTAACATTTTAGATTAATTAAGTAATTAATGTATCTAACTTATATATAGTCCAAATACATCATTTATTCAATGAACCTAAGAAGTTAAAATTTGCTTATAAAAGATAATGGAGGGAGTACATATTTTCAATGATGTTCGGTGAAGTCACGTCGGGCATCATAAGCTATAGGTACACACACATGTATTGAATGTAAAGGGTTGATGGAACTTGTGTCAATCTTTGAATGCAATCTGAACTTGAAAACATTATTTTTGAAATGTGTTGCTATCATTAGAAATAATTTAATAGATTAAAAATGTCTTTGCAACCTTTATGTCATCACTTGATGACATGTAATAGTTCAATTTTTAGAGGTCTGATAAATTTATTTATATGAGTCATTTAAGTTCTAAATAGTTGATTTCATCACTTGTAAGTCAGGTGAGTAGTAAGTAGTAGTAGTTAAGTCACTTAATTATGTTTTGTAGTTGAAAATATAAAGTGCCTTGTTTGTGAATTTGACTTGTATTTTATTATGCATGGTTCATTCTGACGATGTTTGGTGTCACAACAATATTTGACATTTGATTCCCAACTGACTTAAGTGTCAGGTGAAACTTGCTAGAGTTATGACAACAGAGCAAAAGTTAAAACATAAGAAAATTACAGATGTTAAGGTCATATATTGAGTTAACGTGAATGGATAAGGACACAAAGCTATAAGGAAAAGAATGAAAGCTATGAAGCCTGTATAGTTGTACTATTATAGTACATCCTTGAAAAGGGAATATGTCTTATTCTTAGGTCAAGACTAAATGGATAAAAATAGGTTGGCCCAAGGAACGAAGAGGATAAGTATAAAAGGAAAGGAATCTCTACATTAAAAGTAATTTGGAGGAATTTGGAGAAAACCTAAGAAAGAGATGAATCACATATGTGATCACCATTCCTTCTCCGATATCCATTTTAGTTGCGAAGCTGAAGATGATAGGCATGACACCGAAGATCACCTGCAATTGAAAGATTGCAAGAGATAATTGTTGCTACTTTATTTTTATCGTTTTTATACTCTTTGTTTAAGAATATGTATTATAATTTCTCGATATTTAGTTGTTGCTAGGCTTATCATAAGCTATTTCTATATTGTTGAATAATGTGAAATTTCGTGAACAAGTAATCTTTTAAATGTGAATAAATGTTGTTTTACGTTATGTTTAGTTCTTGTATTTTTATGTTATATGTTTAATCTTAGGTTTGATCATCTTAGAGTTAAATGCAAGTTTATTAAGTTACGTTAGTCTTAGTAAATGAATCTAAAAACCTAATATGTTTAAATAGTGAATAGACATACATTATTTACTTAATCACTTTAAATATAAATGATTACATTGTTAACAAATATCACAAGATTTAGCTATGACCACTCATAACATGACACCACATAATATCACAAACACTAGATAAATCAAAGAATGAATCATTGTCCAATGTCTATGCAAATTCTGATTCAAACCCCCTGTTACTTTCTATTATATTCTATACACTTGTTTCATAATTTTCGATATTACTTTCTTTTTAGCTCATTAAATACTTTATTTGTTTCATATAATTTATGATTTAAACACATAATTTTTGGTTCATAGAGCTAAAAACACATAACACAAAATTTATAACGTTCCACTTGCTTTAACTTATTCACATTGTTACTGGCGCCGTCTACTGTGTGAGACCTCAATAGGTCTCTCACGTGAGCAATGTCTTTTTTTTCAACAATTAGCGACGGTTTTTAACTGTCACTAATAAATAGTAAATTTTTAGTGACACTAAAAAGCATCACAAAATGAAGTGACGATTAAAAATCATCGCTAAAAAATTTTAGTGACGGTAAAAAGTGTCACAAAATAAACAGTAATATTTAATAACGGTTAAAAATTGTCGTTATAAATTGTTTAACAACGGTAAAAAAAACGTCACAAAATAAACTGTAATATTTAGTGATAATTAAAAACTGTCGCTAATTATTAAAAAAAACAGAAAAAAAAAGAGTATCATTCACGTGAGAGAGTCTCACGGTAGACGGCGCCATTGTTACTACCTTCCTAAGATCTTTTTAAGTTAAAATATATAATAAAAAAAAATAACAAAGTTGCTTTCTCTTTCACATGTTGCTTTCGGTTGTTGGACGTTATAGTTGGCATCGACCTCGTTGCGGTAAAACAACAACAGGATTCGATTTGGTTGTTGTAAGATAGAAATCCTTCTGCTCGTGGTTACTATTTACAACAACACAAACACGACACTTTTATACTCAACCTTTACTCATTGTTCTCTCATTTATGCAATGGAAAATGACATGGTCATATATCTAGGAAAAACATCGTCACAAGGTCCACTCAGTTAAGTTTTATTATAAGGAACTGTATTTATTTGTTTCACTGCTTTGTATATCAATTTTTTTGGTGAATTAAATCTTAAAAGCTCACGAAAACTCCTAAAAAAAGTAATAAAAATTAAAAAGAAAAGTGTTCAATTATGATTATATATATATATATATATATATATATATATATATATATATATATATATATATATATATATATATATATATATATATATATATATATATATAATAAGAAGAAATGAAAATTATGATTTAAAATTAAAACTCTTCTAAAAAGAATATAAATAAAACTTTTAAAAAATAAAATGTATTAATTTAAAAATTCAACCAAAGTCAATTGACTTTTTTTTTTTAAAATTCATTTACTTATAGAAGAAGTAAAGTATTTGTTTTATGCATAAAAGTTAACAAAGTCTAGCAAATATTTATTGCACTATGATATTTTACAAAATTGTTCAGTGACAAAATCTTTTTTATAGATTCATTGAATTAATAATGCATTTGGATATTATTATATCTTATACGTCAATTATTTAATAAATTTAAAAAATTATTTATTGTTTATACTAGTGATTACAAGGTGTATTTTTTGAAATATGTTTTAATACTACATCAATTTTTTATACAGAAAAAAAATAATATGCATTTACATTATAAAAATTTTACATTTTAAACCAATGATCAATAATGTACAGACTCACCTTAAATTACATTTTTATTTTTAAAATATTGATATAATATATTTTAATATTAAAATTTTATTGAATAATTGTATACAACTATTATACATCCACAACACATTATCTTTAGTCTCTTCCATCTATCTTACAAAAATGTTTCACTTACACTTTTTATATATTTCAAAATAAATATAATATTTTTTTCTACTACTATGCTTTTATTTATAAACTTCAGTCTATTTAACTATTTCATAATTAGAATTCTAGCATCAGAAGCAATTCTTTTACTTGTCATTATATATGTATTTTCTAAAAGGATTAACTTTGTTATTTAAAAAGGATAACGATATGTTTATTGTTTGTCTGTTATTTTTATATAAATTTAAAATTAAATAAATAATACTAATCTAATTTTCTTAATAAGTCAAATAAAACATTATAATGAGATCTAGCGAGTACTCGATTCAAGGAACTTAAAAAAAAAATCGTAAAAACCATAATATTTTTTTGAGAAAGACATAAATTTTGATATGTAAAATATGTATATAAAGAGTCACTAATTATTGAGAAAATCAATTCTTAAATATAAAATTTTATTTTTTTATTACAAAAAATTTAAAAATGTGAATAATATAAAAAAAATATTATACAGATTATTTTAAAATGCTAAATCATAATCATGTTTTAAATTAAAATTATGATATAGCGACATCCATATTTTCTATTGGTTGACAGTATAAAAATACTATATACTATCCGCAAGTTGTTTTTTTTTCTCTTAAAAAAATTAAGATTAAATAATATAGTAAAAAATATTTAAAGGAAAGAAAAAAGTTGAATCTCTATGATCCACATTTATCAGCAGTCACTTTCACAAAATTTGTTTTATCCCAAACCGACAAGAAAAAAAACACAACCGATTTTAAGCCTTCAACTTCCAACATCAAAATGCAAATCAAATGAATAAGCTTTTTTTTTCTGGATCTACAGTTCCAGAAGCTTTGATTTAATTCAAGCAAAACAAAAACATACTATCTCAAAAGTACTGACAATGAGAGCTATTATAAGGTACAAGTTAAAACATTGTACATGTTACTACTACTCAGAATAACAAACATCAACATAATCAAAAACTAAGAAATTAAGCATTATCATACAAAATTTCTAAGCGTCTAGAACAAAGAGTACAAGAGTATTTTCTCTTGATTTGAAAACACATGGGTAAGAAACAGAGCTTGGACTGAACCTCAACATCCATGGCTTCCACTTTGCCACCACAGAAAGGACAAGAACCAGGTGCTTTTTGTCTTCCTAGTTCCTTCTGTTGGCCTTCCCAAACGTAAGACAACCGCATTTTTCTCTTGTTTTCCTCCGTTTTGATGATGTTTCTTTTGTGGAGAGAAACTGTCTTGATCTTGGTATGGGCATAAATGGAGTTCACTTGGTTGCATTTATAGAGGGGCAACTTTGGTTGTTGCACAGTTTTGGATTTTCATGGGGTTAAAACAGTAAATACAATATTATTATTTATTTTTTTGAAAAAGTGAAATATACTTGTTGACCTTGTTTTTATTGTGATTTAATTATATTTTTTTATATATAAATCATAATTAAATAATTTTGAAATTGTACTTTCTATGAAAAGTTAAGTTTTTTTTTAAAAGGGTGTGTTGGAATTTGGATGAGCTCGATTAAAAATAGAGACTAAAAATTCTAAAGATTTGAAAAAGTTGTGTACTTTCTTTTCTCTTTTGAAGAGATTTCAAAAAGTGATGGGTACTAATGTTTTTCTTTTTTTTTATCTCTATTCTCTATTTGTCTCGTAAATCAAGAATTTTTTTTTTGCTTCCTTACTTCTTTCTCGCCTAATTCTCTTTTCTTTATTTCTATTAAATCAATCACACATTTAAATAGTATTGCAAAAGTAACACAATTATAAATATAATAGCTTAAAACAAAAAGATATACTTGAAAAAAATGCTACATTTTTTATATTTTATATTTTGCTATTAGTTAATATTAGGGATGATAAATCAAACAGATAGTTCAGCTTATGTCTATTTTGTTTTAGGCTATACGATGCGACAAGTTAATTCGATTGTTTGAGTCTAAAATTTTGACCGCATTATTTATGGTTAGACAAAAGAGTTGGGGACTTACTCCTCAAGCAAAAAATTCTTTTTTATTATTATTATTATTATTATTATTATTATTATTATTATTATTATGAGACAAAAGGAAGAGTGAACAAAGTTACAACGAAAATACCTCTCACGCTCGCGATAATATAAAAAAATAAAAATTAAACAAAGTGACAAATAAGAGACACATCTGGATCTAGGGGTGACTAATGGGCACATTCATCTCGTTTATGTTCACCCCACAAAAATCCACAAAAATGGGATGAGACAATATAAACATAATAGAGGGTGTGGACCTAAAATCTTATCCCGCTTCGCAGAAAAATGAGAGTGGGGTAGGAAAGACATAATAGAGGGTGCAAGTCTAAAATCTTGATTTAACTTGCAAAAAATACGGACAAAACAAGCATGCATGGTGAGTCGAACTCATTTTGCCACCCCTATCTGGATAATTGGATATGTGTTGCCCTATTACTTGTCTCACACATTTTCTTCTCGTTTTATACTTTATTTCTAGGTCGCCCCACATTTTTGATGGGCTAAGCGTGACTGACGAACTAGAAGGTGTGAGTTGAAAACCTCATCTTTGTCCACCAAAATCATATCAGCTATGTCACCTCTTGTCAATGCATACTCAACTATATATCCATGAAGAGGAGAAAATATGTTAGTCTGGATTTAAATCTGTGATAAAATATTCACACAATCAAATTATTAAATATAATATTAATGACAAGGTAAAAGCAAATATATATTTTTATATATAAATTTAAATTGTGTCACTTTTTACTATAAAAAACAATGAAAGTCTCTCCAACGATTTTAGAAAACCTAAAATCGTACTGTTCATAAACTCTTTTCACAAGCTCACCTTGTATTCCAGTAGTGGTGACATCAATTGGAATCTCTCCACAATCGGCTGTAATCATACAGTGGATATGTTTATAATCATCTGCTCCAAAAATAAACACCACACATCCAAGACAAAAAACTTTTGTTGAGTCAGCTCATAATGTTTGTGACATACCAACGTCCCAGCTACAAAAACTGGTTCTTAAATGCGATAAGATTGTCATTACTATGCTGAGAGAATAATATCTCGTTGGTTTGGAGACATGTAAGCACAACCTACATGCTAGAGTAATATGGCCCAAGGGTACAATGCCTCTTAGAGTTAATGCCCTGCGCAACAAGCTAGCACTGTTTTGGAAATCTCATGGAAAATGGGGGATTACATCGCTTGGTAAAGGATTATACGAGTTCTTTTTCTCTTCTCTAGAAGACTCTCAGCAAGTCAGATCAACTAGTTCATGGAATTAAAACTTGACCTTGTTAAAGTTATTTGCGTTGACAAAGGATTTCAACCCTAATGTTCAACCTCACTCTTCTACACAGGTATTGATTAAAAAATTTCGCCTTGCACAAGAGTATTGGAGACCTAAGATATTATTTGCTATAGGAAGTAGTGTAGGGACACATATTTGTATGGACCAATTCATAAACAAACCAAAATTTGATAGGGAATTTGGCCACTATATTAGATTTATTGTAGACATTGATCTGAGGGAGACACCTATCTATAGAATGCTAGTTGAAAGGATTGGTTTTTCTCTTTTTATTGACATTGATTATGAAAACATGTCTAACTATTGCACCTTTTGCAACTATATTGATCTCAATTTAACACTCTGTAAAAACAAAAACTCAAGTGATTCTAAACATGTGGAACATGTTGACCCTAAACCAACCAAACCTATTTATCAGGTTGCAAAAAAAATAACAACAAACATACAACATCAGCCAAAACAAATCAACTTGTTAGCCTTATCCCCCCCAATGTAACGAATGAATAAAGCACATCCAACCACCTTGTGGATGAGCTTTAGAACAATAATAACAATTCAAAAAACCAAGAAATTCACTTGAAAGATACCAGTCTTGAACCTGAAAACTACAATCAAGAAGATGGAGAAGCTTCCTCTTGCTCTGAGTTTATTGATGCAACCCAATTAGACAACCAAGAGGAAAAAGACCCTAAATTATCTTGCAGCCAACCCTCACAGCCACGTCCTACAATTCCTCCTAGAGTGACTAAGGATATGTTATTTCTCCAAAATTCTTGGGTCAATCTGGCTAACCAAGAACCTGAGCCTGATATTGAATTGAACATTAGCCCACCTGATTCCTTTTAAGAAACCCTAAATTTTCAAGAACCTTTTCAAAAGGTCAAGTCAAATAGAAAATAAAAAGCATCAAACTCAAAGTTTACTTATGGAACTAGGTCAAAAGTTGGTTCGCCCAACTCAAAAAAAAAAAAAAATGAAATGCATTTTTTGGAATGTTAGGGGTCTAGTCAACTCCCCAATAAGATTGACTTTAAAAAAGCTTATTAAGGTCTACAATCCTAATTTTTGTATCATTGTTAAGCCTTTGATATTCTCTAGCAAGCTCCCTAATAATTGGTTTCATAACATTGGAATGAATTTTTTTGCTACCAATAATAGACATAACATGCTTCCCAACATCTAGTGTCTTTGTTCCAATCATTTGAATCCTACCCTAATTAGCTTTGATGACTGGCAGATCATCTTTTTCAATTTTTGACAATCAAAAGCCTTTAACCTTAAGCGACATTTATGCTTCCACATATTACTTGAAAAGGAGATCCTTTTGGACTTCTTTATCCCAAATCATCTCAAATACCAATTCTCGTTGGTCATGTATGAAGGACTTTAACACCACTATTGGTGCTTATGAACATAAAGGTTCTCATTCCCCTACCAAAACCCCCATGGAAGATTTCCTCAACTAGTCTGATAATTTCAACTTGATACACATTCCTACCAAAGGCTCCAAGTACACTTAGTATAATGGGAGACTTGGCTCTCAACATACACAAAATATGATGGATGGAAATATTTGCAGTCAATAGTAGATCTTTAATTGCAGCACTATTTCCTGCTCCACCTTCACAAATACTACTACAAAACACACAAATAACAACGCTAAGTTTACAGCGGATTCATATACACCGTTTTAATAGGTTAAATTTTTTGCACCCAGCGAGTAGCTGGATTATAAACAGTAATTTAATGACAGTTGTCTTAAAACACCGTAGTAATTAAATGATGTGTAGCAAGCTTTGATTCTCAACAACTACATTGTTCCATTTTTTATAGTACATTAAGCGTGTGTCACTTAAGTCCATTATTTAAAAAATAAATTATGAATGATTTACAACGGTGAAGTAAACCAACTGTTGTTAGAGTACTTACAATTCCACTACGGTTGGGTTCTCCAACCGCGATTAAAGGGTTTATTGATAAATTAAAACAAAACTTATTTTATATTTCTTTCATAAGACGCCCTAGGAGAACAAGTGAGCCAGAGACGACAGCGATGGCATAATCTTTACCCTCTTCATATCCATTCATTTGGAGCTCAAATCTTCACCCTCTTTGTTAATTTGATTCTTCAACTTCGAAGTACAGTACTCTTCAACATCTTCATTCTTTTTAAATTTGTTTATGTTGTATATGCTCAAATATTCACCCTCTTTGTTCATTTGATTCTTCAGCTTTAAAGTACGGTACTCTTCAACATCTTCATTCCTTACGTGCATAAGATTCTTCAGCTATGATGTACGGTATTCTTCTACATCTTCATTCCTTTTTTCTTTGTTTATGTTGTATATGCTCAAGTCAGTATGAGAGTACATGTTTCATATGCTTTAGGATTAGATTTGCATATGCATATGCTTAAGTTTTTGGATTAGATTTTGGTGTGTCATTCACATTATTATATGTGTATAAATTTCAAAAGTTATTATGGATCGTAGTTGGATGAAAGCCGATAGATTAGGTCCAGTTTATGAGAACAGAGTTCTTGAATTCCTTGAATACGCTGATAAATATCTTCCCGACAATAATGGTATCTTTTATTGTCCTTGTGTTTTGAAATTCTGGTATGCAGATCACATGTGTTCCAAGAACATTGATCTCTGCTCAATAAGGATGAAGACAGACCATGGTCAATTTAAATTTCTTTAAATTGTCCCAATGTCATGATCAATGTCACGACCTCTATTGTGACATCTGCAGTCTGTCATGCTATTTATCTAACCATTTAAAGTACAAAATTGTAAATGCAGAAAGATAAATAACACAGTAATTGTTCACCCAGTTCGGTATCAACAACACCTACATCTGGGGGC